TTTTTTTTTTAAGAAACACCCCAAGTAGTTGCTAGGGATGCTGATAAGAGCAGGTCTCTTATACACATCTAGATGTGTATAAGAGACAGCGTCTTGTGTGTGTGTGGGGGGGTGTGTGTGTGTGCGCGCGCGTGGTGTGTGTGTGTGTGTGTGTGTGTGCGCGCGTGGTGTGTGTGTGTGTGTGTGTGTGTGTGTGTGCACGTTGTGTGTGGAGATGTATGTGTGCATGTGTGTGTGTCTGTGCGCGTGGTGTGTGTGTGTGTGTGTGTGTGTGTGTGTGACCAACTTGCAAAATGCTACGTGTGATGAACGTGAATCAAAAACCGGTTCTAAACCCTAAACCCTGTTGCCAGAATGCCTGAACATTATAGCTGGAGTTCGGGCAGCTGTCAGTCTGTATTGATACAGCTATCAGGACCGGGTGTTCTATTTGGGGGAAGATGGTAAGCTCCTAGAGGGTGAAACTCTCGAGCTTCTCAAACCCTAAATCTCCTTGAGGACAGGCGTGGGGTTTTGAGCCTGCAAGTGTGGAAGGCATGCATGCATTAAAGCTTTGAACTAATTGTAGTCAGATACATGCTGGGTAGTCCTACTGTGCATCTGTTCCCAGCGTCACAAAGATGAAGTCCTACTGGTATGCCTAAGGCCGTAAATTCAATAACTGCTACACGTTGCTGACTCTCAGATTCGCTTTGGATTCACTTCAGATTCACTTCAGATTCACTTCAGATTCACTTCAGATTCATTTCAGATTCACTTTGGATTGCTTTGAATTCACTTCAAAGGATTGCTTTGAATTCACTTCAAAGTTCAAATTCATTCACTTCGAGTTCGCTGTGAATTCACTTTGGATCTGGGCTAGGAACTGGGCCGCCCGGGTCACATCTTGGTTGCCCTGCTCGGCCCGGCCGGGCAAGTGCCAGGGAAGGTTCCTGGAAAAGAAAAAGGAAAAATGAAATCCAAAAGATCTGAAAAGAAACTACGTTATGCAGAAAAATAATCTGAATAACTTTTGCCACAGGGTCAAATCGGTAGTGCTTAGAAGGGGGGGGTAAATGCGGTATGGACGGGGGGACAAGCGTTGGGGTTGAGAGAAGGGAGAGAGAGGAAGCAAAGCTGGAGAGGTTGGGAATGGCATCCAGGTGAAGGGAAGGGGGGGGTTGGGGGGGGCAGCATTTTCACAAGTCTGTGATCCTTACTGTGGTAATCAGGATTGCGCTGAAAAGGATGAGGAGTTGGCGGAATATCGGCGAGAGCTAGTGCGGTGCCGCGCGAAACTTGCAGACTTGCGAGTGCAGGTGCAATCCCTCTGCGCCGACCAGTCACTGGATGCTGAAGCGTGGTGAGTAGTAGCTCCTGGTTTACAGAAATGACAGAGACGTTGGGAGAATGTCAATTTTATTATTATTATTATTTATTTTTTTTTGTTGGTCGTCAAAATTGTGGGATTGCCTGGTATAATAAGTGAATGATGGTCCTCAGGGACATCTGTTAAAATTGGAACGATACAGAGAAGATTAATCAACATGGCCCCTGCGCACTCGAGGATAAACATGCCTACATCGAGAAATGGCTAAGGTCACTGCGCCGACCAGACCTTGGCCCTGGTATAATCCTGGATCTCGGTCCGGTTCCCAACCGAAACCCTGGTCCCTAGGGACCCTATCTAATCCCCTTCGACCCCCATCCTTTAGCATCAGAGCAAGCGGTATTGGTGCGATGATGACAACATATGGTAGTTCCGTACGTCGACGAACAGAGCAATGATGATGACGACACCAATAACAACAATGGTGGCAACAATGATGATGACGACAATGACGAGTGAAGTGCATCGATATGCATGGCGACTGGTTCCTACTGTTGCTCGTGTCTGCAAATGCATCATTGTATGCTTCTCTACTGCTGATGATGTCAGTCAGCTGACGTCAGCGACGTTGGTTTGTGACAGACTGAGTGCTGGTGTCACCATTGGTGGTTGGATATTGTCAATGTTGGTCTTGACGTTGACGGTGCCGGAATGCGCAATAATGTGGGAGCGGCAAACTGCGAGTGATGATTATGCCCATGTCCAACAGCACAACCGTGAGTGATAATTATGCTGGACCATGACTGATGATTATGTGGAACCGTGAACCGATGATCAGAGAATGAATTTGGGCAGGAGAGCTGTGCAAATGCATTATCTGATCATCGAGGTGTGCACTTTTGACTCTCGAGTGTGTATTGGTTGGTGCCTGATTCTTTGAGTGTGAACTGGCTGGCTTTCTTCTGAATGTTGTGCAATTGCAGCCTGCGGTTCGACAAGTTCACGTTAAGGGAACTCGGCCAGTTTCTGTCCAGGCATCTTCATGCGAGGCCACCTCATGCAGAGTCAGCGCAGATTTTTGAAACCATGAGGCAGTCCTTTGCCGACTGGCAAAAGAGGAAGAGCGACAATCCGCCGACCATTTCCGACGACCTTGTGTTCGCTCTCGCGTCAGCTCTTGCATCCAAAGGCTGGTTCTCTGAAGTTGAGCAGCGAGCCATACGTATGATGATCCACAGGGTTTCGTCGAAGTTTTCAAAATCCCGATGTCTCACACGCCTGTGTTCGTGATGACAACTTGCGACACACGGAAACTTTAGAAAAACTGTGGCATCTGTACGTGTTGTTGCATCAGTTGAAGAAGTGTGACATGTGTGACACTGATCACTTCAACATCCTCCTCCTCCCGTAGTTCCGGATCGGCACAAGTGGCTGGCAGAGTTGTTTGTCCGCTGATCGATCGTCCACTTGATGACCAAGAAGGTTCAAAGAAGGTTTGTCAGGCAAGTGAGAGAGAATACTCGCCAGAAAAGCACAAGAAGGATCCGTCTGGCGATTGTCCTCTTGGCGGCAGGCTTTGTTTGGGGTGTATACGACTCTCGCGCAAGGAGGAGAGCTCCTGCCTGTGAAGTGTGTTCTTTAGTGAAACTCTCTGGAACCATTACGCATATAATAGTGGGTCAGTGGCACTTGAGAATTGTTTGCTCGTCCGCTGATTCTCCACTTTGGGGGCTGCCGCCAAAAAGGACCTGGCTGTCTACACTACTACTCTGTAGTCAAGCAGCGAGCTATAGTCAGTGCATTCTGCAGAGGAGGATGAGAGTCGTCACCGTGTTGTATAGACCTCGAGCGAGCTATTTCGTTATTGCGATTGCGTCCTTAGTGGAAACTTCCTTGGTCCTGCATCTACTTCTAGGTCCGTTTCCGCGAGCCACACGACGCACAATTTGACATGGACGATCGCCGTCGGTCCTCATCATCTCAAGTAACAATAGGTTCATCCATTCAGCCCGCAAGAAGGATTCGTCGCTGTCAGTGTTTTGTCCGTCTCTTTTCGTTTGGTTTTTCCATCAAGCAACAAGGAACAGCCCCATGAATCGACGGGCGGGATCATCGGTACCCATCACGTCAAGTAACGAGCCCCGTCGGTTTGGCTCAGCAAGGGTGCGTCATTCATTCTCCTTTCGTTTGGTTTTCGTCAAGTGACAAGGAATGGCCGCAGGATTCGATCGTCGGGATCATCGGTACCCATCTTGTGAAGTAATGAGGCCCATCCCTTTGGCCAGCAAGGACTCTTCGCTATCGATGTTCAGTCCTCCGTCTCATACGATGAAAAAGGAATGGCTGCTCTCCCGTTCGTCCAGCTCAGGTCGCTGAAAAAAATGGTTCGCATATGTCGTTTGTAACTGTTGATGAACAGACCATGAGTTCGAAACCTGATGGAATCAGAAGAGGGGTTACAGTAGCACATATCGTATGTAACTGTTGATGAACAGATCATGAGTTCAAAACCTGAAGGAATCAGAAGGGGTACAATACTTCACAATGCATGTTTTTAGGGGCTACTCCCCGTAGAGAGAAGAAAAGACAACAAGTTACAGCCGGCTAGTAGCGTTCGGCGTTGTGTGAACTTGGAGGAGCAACACAAGGTCTGTTATTGGAGATTACCCAAGATGCTTTGGCGCTCAGCCTTCGAAGATTCGGTGTTGTCGTTGATGTTGATGTCACCAATTTTCTGCAAGATTTCGCATAAAAGAACTGTGGTTTGCGTGTTTAATAAACGCAAAGTGTGTATTTGCATCTCGTCCGCAACAGCATTGCTCGCTTTGTTTGGCAAAAGTACGGAGAGCCGAGGCGCCCCTTTGTGTAGTGGAAGGTCATTGGGCTTTTTTCGGATGTAGGAGCCGAGAACAAGCGCACCACTTGGAGTATGTTGAGAGAGCTCTGCTATAGCTCACCAAATACGGCATTTGCCCGCCTCATCTGGCAAGCGGAGAAAAAGCTGCAACACCCTGTCGACGCTGTCGTATACTGGAAGGTCATCGGATTAGATGTGGCTAAATAGCAAGGGACTTGAATGTTTAGAGAGATGCAGCTCGCCCCTTTCGTGTACTAGAAGGTCGATTGTACGTGCATTTGACTACTGGAAGGGTCAATCGTACGTGGATTTGACTACTAGAAGGGTCAGTCGTATGTGGATTTGACTAAGTACAAGGATTGGAGGATGCTGAGAGAGAGGTGCATTGCGTGCCTCGTCTGGCACGTCAAGAGACCTGGAGCACCCCTTTGTATACTGAAAGGTCGTTGGACTCGGATTGATGTAATGATTGGAGCACCCGTTCGTGCACTGAAAGGTCGGTGGACTCGGATTGGATGTGGCGACTACTGTAAGAGCAAGGACTTGGATGAGGAGACCAGGTGCAGGGCATCAGCGTTATGAAGTACGTGAGTGCTAGCTAAGGTATGACGAATGTCACAGAGACCAGGTGCGTGCTAAGTACGTAGTGCGGAAAACGTCCCTTTTTTCGTGTACTAGAACGTCAATGGTACGTGGATTTGACTAAGTGCAAGGACTCGAGGATGCTGAGAGAGAGGTACATTGTGTGCATCGTCTGGCACGTCAAGAGACCTGGAGCACCCCTTTGTATACTGAAAGGTCGTTGGACTCGGATTGGATGTAGCGATTGGAGCGCCCGTTCAGGCAGCACTGAAAGGTCATTGGACGCAGATTGGATGTGGCGACTCGCCGAGTACTGTAAGAGCAAGGAGTTGGCTGAGGAGAGAGCTCCTCCAGCAGGGCATCAGCGTTATCAAGTGCATGAGTGCTAGCCAAGGTATGACGAATGTGGTTTGTCACAGAGGACAGTGCTAAGTACTTAGTGCAGAAACGTAGCACCAGTGTGGCTTGGGCCTACAAAGCTTGAGGCTCTGCAGAGTCTGCACTTTTTTCTTTGTGCGTGTGAGATCCACCGCTCCTTTGAATTTTCTTGTGGCTCAATCGGTTTCGTTTGGGAAATGCTCACATTGGGGATTTCCTGGATGCATCGGACCAGAAATACGGCCAGATTCACGCACAAAGTGCACTTACTTTTTTTTTCAGTTCTTTGAACTTGTTGTGGCTTAATCCATGTGTTTGGGAAATGCTCACACCGGGGATTTCCTGGATGCATCTGACTAGAAATATGGCCAGATTGAAGCACACAAAGTTCTAGAGTTCTAGAGCTCTACAGTGAGACTGCCCTCCTTGGTGTAAAGGGGGCTTTGGACTTCTCCTCAGTGAATCTGTCACCCGTATTTTGGTGGCGCAGATCTCTTTGCTCTCCCAATGTGCCGTCTGTGTAGGTGTTTGAGACTTAGAGAAAAGCTTTAGGAAATAAAATCAGCCTGGTGGGGTTGGTCTACAGAGGTCGCGGAGGGGGCACAACCCGCGATTATGTTCCTTTTAAGGTTCTTTTTTTTTTCTGTTCCTTTTAGCAAATCAAAATTTATATTCCTGCTATATTCTTTATCCAGGCGGGGATTAGAGGCTTTTCAACCGTTCTGAGCGTTTTTTTTTTTTTTTTTTTTTTTTTTTTTTTTTTTTTTTTTTTTTNGGGGGTTTATTTTTTTTTTTTTTTTTTTTTTTTTTTTTTTTTTTTTTTTTTTTTTTTTTTTTTTTTTTTTTTTTTTTTTTTTTTTTTTTTTTTTTGAAATCTCCGCTGGAAATGGGCAGGGCATTGTTGGATATATGCAGCAGTGTGGAAGAGTTTTCTAAGAAGCTAGCTTCTCTGAGAAGCTTCTTGCGGTGTCCGCAAATTCGTGAGCCTTGCCTGGTGGACTTCATGGTACACAGAACCTCTCGCTCTTGGACTGTAATTCACAGATCAGGAGTTGGAAACCCTTTGTGAGCGCTTTGCCAATCCTTTGCGCAGGCTATGATCGATGATAGGGGTGAAGAATTTGTAATCTCCAGGGAAGGGTAGTGGATTTCTTTGGATTTCTAAGCCGCAAGGGGGGAGGAGGAGGGGGGGGGTCGTTCGTGAATACTAAGCTGCAGGGGGTGGACTTGCTGCTGCATTCAGGGGTCCTGTATTTCTGAGCTGCAGGGTGCTGCAGGCAAAGGTCGTGTATTTCTAAGCTGCAGGGGGACTAGGTAGCTGCTGCAGGCAGGGGTCGTGAATTTCTAAGCTGCAGGAGGACTTGCGGCTGCTKCAGGGAAGGGTCCTGTATTTCTTAGGTGGCAGGGGGGGACCTTTGCGGCTTCAGGGAAGGGTCCTGTATTTCTTAGGTGGCAGGGGGGGACCTTTGCGGCTTCAGGGAAGGGTCCTGTATTTCTAAGCAGCAGGCGGACTTGCTGCTGCAAGCAGGGGTTGTTAATTTCTAAGCCGCAGGGACTTGCTGCTTCAGGCAAGGGTCCTACTAATGAATTTCGAGTTTTTCGGCCCCATGTCGGGACCACCACCACCATGTTCTCTTGTATTTTTTCCAGAGCTCATCTCTACTTCTAAAAGCTGCAGTGGGACTTTCTGCTGCAGGCAGGCGTGGTGAATTTCCTGAGCTGCAGGGGGACTTTCTGCTGCAGGCAGGGGTCGTGAATTTCGTGAGCTGCAGGGGGGACTTTCTGCTGCAGGCAGGGGTCGTGAATTTCTGAGCTGCAGAGACTTGGAGGTGCAGGGAGGCGTCATGAAACGCAGTCTTTTCTGAGCTGCAGGCAGGGGTCGTGAAACGAAATCTTTTGTGAGCTGCAGGTAGGGGTCATGACATTTATCTTTTTCCTAAGCTGCAGGCTCTTGCCACTGCGATACTGCTCAGCGTGTTCGCACTGTTGAAACTTCAGTGCATGTGTAATATGGTTGAGAGACTCGAGAGTATCTCGTCATCGAATAAAATTTCATGCAATAATCCATTTCATAATTTCATTTCATGTTTGCAGATGTAGACGTGTCGTCCTTGTTTTCGGAGTCTTTTCCCTTTTTTTTTTTCTTTTTTTTTTTCCCTGCTGAAAGGTCAAAAGGCAAAGGGCAAAGTCTTTTCCTGTTTTTGTGGTTTTGCTCTTTTTACGCAGCGAGACGGGGCTGCGTAGGAAGGTGATGGTAGTGAATGGAGTGAAGCGAGTGTTGTCATTTATGGGTCACGCGTTTAGTGCTTGTTACGGTTATACCCCTTTACTGTTTGTTAGGGTTTTACGGTTTTACCCATGTACCATTTATGGTCACGCATTCACGCATTTGCCATTTATGGTTAACCCATTTGCGGTTTAGGGTTCCCCATTAACCATTTATGGTTTAACCCATTTGCAGATTTTTAAAGAAATAACTTCAAATAAGGCTATGCAGTTAAAGCAGTCAGAGGTTGGTTTGGTTCAGGCAGAAGGCCAGCGTGCAGTCCGGTGCTTCCCCAGTCAGAGGCTGGTTTGGTTCGGTGAGAGGGTTGGTTTGGTGCGGTGAGAGGGGGATTTGGTTCGGTCAGGGGTTGGTTTGGTCAGAGGGTGGCTTGGTTTGGCCAGAGGCTGGTTTGGTCACAGGGTGGTCTTGGGTCAGAGGGTGGTTTGGCTCGGTCAGAGGGTGGTTTGGTTCGGTCAGAGGGTAGTTTGGTTCGGTCAGAGGGTGGTTTGGTTGGGTCAGAGGGTGGTTTAGTTTGGTCGGAGGGTGGTTTCTTTTGGTCAGAGGGTGGTTTCGTTCGGTCAGGGGTTGGTTTGGTCAGAGGGAGGTTTGGTTCAGCCAGAGGTTGGTTTAGACACAGGGTGGTTTGGGTCAGAGGGTGGGTTTGTTCGGTCAGAGGGTGGTTTGGGTCAGAGGGTGGTTTGGTTTGGTCAGAGGGTGGTTTGGTTGGGTCAGAGGGTGGTTTGGTTTGGTCAGAGGGTGGTTTGGTTGGGTCAGAGGGTGGTTTGGTTTTGTCAGAGGGTGGTTTGGTTGGGTCAGAGGGTGGTTCGGTTGGGTCAGAGGGTGGTTTGGTTGGGTCAGAGGGTGGATTGGTTGGGTCAGAGAGGGGTTTGGTTTTGTCAGAGGTTGGTTTCTTTCGATCAGAGGGGGGTTTGGTTTGGGCAGAGGTGCGAGAGGGATTGGATTGGAGTTCAATCAGAAATTCAGGAGGGAGGGTTATTACAGGTCTAGTCGGCAGTAGGATATTTTTTTTTTTCTTTTTTTTTCTTTGAGATAGCAAAGCTGAGGAGTGAAAGAAGGGGAGTTGTGTGAGTTGTAAGCTCTATATCTGAGGGCATACTCACACTAGGTAGAAGTTTTTCTACTACTATCGGCACGCGATTGCAGTCCGGTACATCCAGTCACGTTGTAATTGTGGTCAGATGCATTTCGGAAAGTGCTCGTGTGTCATGTATCAGAGCCCATATTGTTTTCTCATGTGTTGATTGATCGCTTTTGATCATTGCAATTGTTGTTGTTGTCGTCGTGCCTGCTCTACTAAAACAAATGAAATGGTTTTTCTGAAACTTTTCTCAACTTTTTTCGGACTTTCTTCAAAAAATTTCTGCTTTTTGTCGGTCACTTTTGCCGTAGCACCTCAGCTTATCGGTCACAATGCCAAATAAGTTTGATTAATTAAGATAATTCAAAATTTATGATATGTTTTGCTCATTTTTTTGGTGAAATTTTTTTTTTTTAAATCGACTTTTGATTAATTAAGATAATTCAAAATTTATGATATGTTTTGCTCATTTTTTTGGTGAAATTTTTTTTTTTTTAAATCGACTTTTGATTAATTAAGATAATTCAAAATTTATGAGTTCAAGCGACTTTAATGTCTTTTTTCATTTTTTTTTGAATTTTGGAGTCTTTTTTAAAGTTTTTCTGAAGTTGTCTTTTTTTGAAGTTTTGAGTCTTTTTTTTTTGTTCTTTTTCTGGTAATTGTGAGGACCTGCCAAGCACGGACTGAGACACGCAGCTGATTTCTGAGTGTTGCCAATGGAATGTATGCCTTGCTGATTTTTCGGCTTGTTGGCAGTTGTAGGTTGAGTTTTCTAAGTCTGAGTGTGTGCATGCTTGGTGGCATGCGTGCCTGTCTGAGTGCTCGTCGGTTTGAGTGTGTGTGTGACCCGCAAGGGTACTTGTCTGTGCGGAAGACCCAAAGGGCCGGTGCTTACCTGTGGCCGTGACATCGAGGGTTGCAGCGGGGAAAACAGTCAAGTGGCGGGGAAAGAGTCCCGCGACACTTGGAGCAGCGAAAAAACAATCAAGTAGCAGGTAGGCCGGTACCACTGTAGTAGTGGTAGAAGTGTCGGGTAGTCGACGCCGAGCAGAAGAAGACAAAAGTTGGCATTTTTAGATGCCCAGTAGTTGTAGGTTAGGTCTAGGCGGGTACCAGTCCAACCAGTCTGAGTCTAGGGCCTGTACAGGCAATATCAGAGTCTGCAATGAGGAGGTACCGGTTGCTTGGAGACCGCGCAGCCTAGGAAGTCACTCGCCAAGACGCAAGCAGGGCGCTATATCTCCAGGAGGAGCAAGGTGCTCCTCCGCATTGTCGGTGTGCAAGTTTGGCGACACACTGGTTGGAGCGCTAGCACAGAGCAGCGCTTCTGGGGAAGGAGCAAGGACAGGAGGAGGAGGAGGAAGACAAGGACTAGGAAGGGGCAGCTATGGTGGACGCCATCTCAATCACCTTGCTTGACCCTGCATCTTGAAGGCCTCACTGGGGTAGAGGTGCACCAAGAAGCTTCGAGGCAGAGTCAGGCATGGAGGCCTGAACAGGAGGAGCCATATCTGCTTTGTGTTGTTCTTTGCACAGCAGGGCGAGGCCCTAGTAGCGTCCGTCATAGCCTTGGCCTACATGAAGAGGAAGAAGAAGGGTGGCTATGGTGGACCTCATGTGATACCTGCCTTAGAAGAGGGATTCGGACATTGATTGTCGTTCAGCCATTCAACATTATTATTATTATTATTTCTTGTTTGAATAAGAGGGGAGGAGATAAAGAGGAGGAGAGTGGTTGGCGAAGGAGAAAGGGATTGTCATTGGTCTTTGCTGGTGTACATCATCATCTTCTTCTTTCTTTCTTCTTTTTCTTCTTCTTCTTTCCCTCTCTCTCCTCTCAAGTTCATTCATTTCTTTTTGCAATTGCATGGCATTATAGTGCTTTCTTATGAATGTGTACTTGGAAATTGGCCAGGATCATAACATAATTGTTTAATTAACCATTCAACAGAGCAGTTAGGAACCTAGGAGGAGGAGGAGGAGGAGGAGGAGGAAGAAGAAGAGGAGGAGGAGGAAGAGTGCAACTTTGTGGAATGCTTTTCCTTCGTGTGATGCCATGCGTACAAAGCTCTGCCGCTTTGTTTTTTCTTTTTTTCTGAAAAAACAGAACCTTAGGGTTCTGGCTCCATATCCATGCTGGGGAGCAGCAGTCTGGGTCCTATTGTGCCGGCAAGTCAAAAGAAGATACATCAGTTACTCTCGCACGCTCCTCCCCATGACGGTTCGGGGGCCCAAGTGGACGGCATTGATTACATCCCTTGGGAAGGATGTACCACCCCTCACTCCTGTCTAAGTTAACCTGAGATTGTACTAAATGGCTAGCCCCTACTCTGAAATCTGCTTGGTTGTGTTCTTCTTCTACTATTCTTCCTTCGTCTGTAGCGCCCCCCACGCCCTATGACGTCAACCCTGGGGTACCTCGGGGGAGGGGGCACGGATGCCAAGCGGAGCAATTTACCGGCTAGACAGCCAATCCTCAGCTTTGCATGTCAATTCTCTGTTAAAGGATGAAAGTTGGGGCCCTGCTCCTCTACTCGAGCGTCCCATTGCTGTTATCACATCCTTGGTGCTCTCCGCGCCTGCCTAACCAATTGAGGCAGAGCCTGTTCCCTTGCAGGGTGCCTATTCGCCCATTCCCGAGCAGTCGAGCGGCGAACCCCTGCCAGATCTGAGATGCTTTATCCGGGCACCTCGCCATCTGTTGTCTGGCCCATCTCCACTCTTCCCGGTACTCTGCCTCCGCCAGGGTAAAAAAGTGGTCCCCACGCGTGCTGCACTGGCTGCCGTTTTCCTTGCAAGGGCACCGTGCATCCCCTTTTCCAGATCATCCACAGAGCCAACAGACGCACCCTTTGAAACAGTGTACTTTGATACGCCTCGCATCCCGTTCTCCCTTGTGTAGGCATGGGGCGTTCTGGTTGGGAAGAGGGTATCAGTGAGGGCCTGCCACCAAATGGCCACCCTGTCGCATATTTGCTCCGCCTCCGGGCAAGTGAGTAAGCAGCGCGTCATGCCTTCCACCTGACCAGTATTGCACACAACGCAAAGGTTGGACTGGGCCATCCTGTTCCGTACAGCCCTGCGTTTGCTGAGTCACTGTCTAACGGCAAGGGCGACGTGAGATCAGCCATTGCATGCCGCGCACTCGGGTGTTCCGTATCCCAAGGATAGCCCGCCATGGCGTGGCCTGCCGTGCTCCTAGATTAATGCTCACATGCTTCCTCCACCTAGAGGCAATGATGTCTGTCAGGGGCGGAGGACTATTCCTCGATGTGTATCCCAACTCGGTGGTGTACGGCAAGAGGTTGATGTACTGCACGGGCCTATCCGACCGATGGCGCAGCTTCCAGGCCCATTCTGCCGGATCCAGCTCAAGGTCCCCCAGCTCGGTCAAGGGGTTGTCGATGAAAATCTCTGCATTCTCCCAACCCAGCCCTTCCGCCTCACGACGACCTGAGAAGAACTGGTTTTGCCAAGCAAGCTAGTCGTCCCTCCCGGGCTGCAAATGCTGTGGATCAGTGGTGGCAACCAAGAGTTTTAGGATTACCTGTACCCAACCTAACTGCACCCTCTTTGAAAACAACCATCCATACCAACTGTATACCTCGCCTACCGAACCTTTACCCTTTTTTTTTTTTTTTTTTTTTTTAAGAAACACCCCAAGTAGTTGCTAGGGATGCTGATAAGAGCAGTCACCACTAGCAAGCTCGGGGAGGCTCCATCTATTGGTGGGGAGCATCACCTGCTGGAAAACGGGTCCAGCGTCCCTTTTTTTTTTTTTTTGAAAACACAGGCTCCATCTATTGGTGGGGAGCAGCACCTGCTGGAGTCCCATAGATACAACCATATCCTCGCAAACTGGCACAAACTGGGAACCGGGCCCAGCGTCCCATAACGAACACATTCAGAAAAGTCATCAGAAAATTCAGAAAATTCCATGAAAATAAGACTAGGAGCCTACTAAGAATTATAGAACTATTCCAGACCTTTTTGCGGGAAACTTCAGAGTCAGACAAAGTTCGGAAAACCCTCGAGGATCCACTATCAGTCCTCTTACCTCACTCCGGCAAGACTTACTGCAGCAAAGCCACCATCTCTACTGCTGCTATGCCCCATTTCTATCCTACCAGCTGGCCCCTTCA